TGTGTGTGTGTGTGTGTGTGTGTGTGTGTGTATCTTGTGAGTGTTAGCTCATAAGAGCGTATTTACCTTTTATTAACTAGACCGATATTGACATTATAGATCAAAACTCTTTGTAAATGTTACCATTTCCTTCCCTTGCCCTGGTCAACTTTCCACGATGTCCTCGAGTATTTTGTACGCCGTGACCATGTCTCCTCTTGTTCTCCTAGCGTTGTGCAGCCTTTCTGCAATGCTGCTGTTTCTTTTTCTTATTTCATATCTAATTTGGACAACTTTAGACAAATACGTGAGTTGGAATTAGTAGATGCGAGTGAGACGTGAATATAATCTGTACAGGAAGTATTGTATGTTACCAAGACTTGATAAAACTTGGTGTCCATGTCTGGTATTCAGACCAACTGTCATCTACTTATAAAAATTTATGTAACGCTCGTGTGTAATTTCCTTACATATATACGACCTACCTAGCATAGGACCACTTCTGCTACCAGTCTAGCATCGAACTTTTGTACTTTTTAAAGCTCCTTTTTCTTTACTAGGCGCAGGCTCCACGCTGGTGCCTCGTATTCAGGCATTCACCTTACATTTGGTTCGCAACGCCGTTCTCACATTTGCCAATCTGGTGTACATCACCGATGCTTTTCAGTTAATGTGCTGCGGCAGGCAGATTGGTCATTTCGTCTGAGTAATTGGTCATTTTCGGCCGAGAATATAATATTCGTCTTTCTCGTCTGGGAGTTGTTCATCCTCCATGGAGTATGCATTTCTCTGGATTCAGGGTTGGGGGCTGCACAATTAAGCTCGTACCTTGTACTTGTGTATGTCGATTACAAGGAAGGGAGGGAGGGAAAGGCACCCGAATAGCACACACCAGCGGATCAATGAAAGCAACTCACAACTTTATACATCACAGACTGGTGTTGTGCACTGGTATAATACACAAATAACTCGCACATAGAGAGAGAGAAGCTTACGATGATGTTTCAGTCCGACTTGGACCGTTTACAAAGTCATAATGTGACTTTTTAAACTTTGTCCCAGTTACGGTATTATGCCTTTTTTTAGTACACTGGTACAGTTGCTCTAACAGCTCCTGTTATTCGCCCAGGTGTATAAATTATTAAAAACTGAAATCATCATTAGTAGTATAACTCGATGCCTCGTAATGACAGGTGGTAGTGATACTTGTTGTATTGTGGATAACATCTCTTCCCGTCCCGTGACCTGACTGAGGTAATGAATTACTGGCACTCCTGCCTGACTAGTCTTACTGGCTTAATCTTTCTTATTCTTGTATTTGTTCCACTTGTAGTACATATATGGTATACAAAACCTGCAAGATGAAGAATTAGACCAGCGGTTCTTAATCTGAGGGTTGTGACCCCCTGGGGGGGGGGTCGTTTGGGGTTTCTCGGGGGTCACAAAGGGGTTCGGGAGAATGGAATTTATTCTCATATAGTTGAATTAGCTAGTTGGGCTTTTACCAGTTTGGTGAGTGGTAACATTGATCACACGTGCGGTGGTCTGCTACAGTAAACACATCAACCACAACCAGTCACTCAGTTAGTACATAGCTACGGTGGCGATGTCCATATGTCCCTCTTGCTCCGTGATTCCCAAGGCGGTTTTCTGTCTGCACTATGTCTGCCAAGAAGCCTTCCTCAAGATGCATTTCACAAACATCATTCAGAACTCTGTGGATCAAGCCGCAGTGTGTCGTTTGCACCAAAGTTTTGAGTCATGAGAGTATGAAGCCAAGCAAACTGATGGTCCATTTTGAGTCTTGCCGCAGCCATCTAGTGGACAAAAGCTTGGAGTTTTTCAAGTTAAAAAAAAGCTTCTATGAAGGCCAGTCGTATCGATTCCACTGGTCACTTCGCTCGTCAGACTGAAGCAGCGTTGGAGGCTTCATACAGAATTGCTCTAAAAATCGTGCAGACCTAGAAGCCTCATACCATTGATGAAGACATGATTAAGCTTTACATTCTGGAAGCAACGAAGGTGGTTCTTGGAGAACAGCAGGCAAACAAGTTGAGGGTAATTTCCCTTTCGAATGATACAGTCAGAAGTCGGATCTCGGACGTGAGTGAGGATATTCTGCTGCAGGTAGTGTCAGCTGTGAAGAGTAGTCCACTGTATTCATTGCAACTGGACGTGTCAACGGATGTTGCTTCATGTTTCTAACTTCTTGTTTATATTCGTGACCTAGACAGGGAAGTTATAAAGGAGAGTACTTGTTCTCTGAACCATTGGCCACAGCCACTTGTGGAGAAGATATCTTCAAAATCCTTAAACACGAGCTAGGCTGTGAAGCACTTGTCGGAGTGTGTACAGATGGGGCTCCTGTGACCGGTTGCAAATCCGGCTTCAAAGTCTTTGTGAAGAACGTCGCTCTACATGTCTACTTCACTCGGCATGCTTTGGCGATGAAGACTCTCCTACCTGGACTTCAAGAAGTGCTCACAGGCGTTGTAAATATTGTGAACCATATCCGAGGGAGCGCAACGACTCCGAGGATTTTTAAAGTGCTTTGTGAAGAAATGGGTGCCGACTTTTCTGATTTCTTATTTCACACATAGGTACGTTGGCTCTCAAGTGGCAGGATTCTAAATCGCGTGCTACAACTTTGAGAAGAAATAACAATGCTGTTGAAACGAGGTCATACGGCGAAGGGAATTCTTCTTCATGAAAAGATGCAGGATGACTCTTTTGTAACAAAGGTTACCTACTTGGCAGATTTCTTCTCTGAAGTGAATTCCCTGAATATTTCACTCCAAGGAAACCTTTCAATGCTGCACACAGCTTGTGACAAAGTGAGGGCATTCAAGTGTAAGATTTAACTTTACCTGAAAAGAGTTGAGGACAGTGACACAACGTTCTTCACTCAGATGACGACTCTCCTGGATTCTATGCTTGACGCTGAATGCTGTTTCCATGAGATCTCAACTCATTTTTTGGCAGTGAATGATGTTGGTGAGGGGCTTTTGATTTAGGGAATTGGATCTGTGCTCCAGTTCCCCGAATTAAGCCTGAATGCCTTCCACATCCCCCCCCCCAGGCGCTGTATAATCCTCCGGGTTTAGCGCTTCCCCCTTGATTATAATAATAATAATAATAATGGCAGTGAATGACGCCATCGAAAGTTACTTTCCAGGACTGGACGACCGCTGTACTGATGCATGGATCTACAGACCCTTTTCAGTCAAGGATAATGCCATCAGTGATACTGATTTTGCTGCTAAGATAGAATTTCTTCAAATTCGTGAGGATTCTCAGCTGAAACTCGACTTGACTGAACAAGAGCTCCCTAAATTTTGGGCAAAAGTGCAGGACGGACGACTGTCCCATTCTTTCGATGCGTGCACTGACCATGCTGATCCAGTCCCCGTCAACCTATCGCTGCGAGGTTGGATTCTCAATAATGGTAACACTGAAAACGAAGGCACGCAATAGGCTTGTGATCAATGCTGACATGAGGTGTTGCCTGTCGAGTACTGCTCCTCGCTTTGATAGACTTATGGCTTATGGCTGCAAAACAATTTCAACCCTCCCACTGAGTGAATGAAAAGTAGGTTTTATTTGAGGTTCAATAGTTCTGTGGAATTTGCACTGTTCTGGCATTTGTAGAGGCTATGTGGAATTTTTCAGGGTTTTTGTTCTTTTACTGTTTCAGTAAACCATAGTCTTCCTGTCGTTTTGTTTTATCTTACCTTTTTACAAGGTTCACCATTTCAAAGTTTATTATAGGGGTCATGGTAATATCCTGAAGAGTCTAGGGGGGTCATAGGACGAAAAAGGTTAAGAACCACTGAATTAGACACATGTTCAACATCTGGGTATCGTTATTGTAGACGCTTCGCCATCCAATAGCTTTATCAACACAAATTCAAGTACGCAATGGGAAGACAGTAGATCTATATACAAAAGATGAGGTAATCAGTCCCTCAACTGAGGGATTGTTGGAAACTGTCACCAGTATGAGCTTCAGTGATGCTGCCTTACAGTTTGCTCCACTCGCTTCCTAATTTGATGGGGGCAGTGAAGAGCTTTTCATCCAAGGAATTGGAGCCACTCTTCCCCTTCCTCAGACTAAACCTGATTACCTTCCATTCTCCAGACACTCTGAGATACCTACGGATCAAGTGTTACCACATGAATATTATATTAATAATCCCGTGTTTTGCTAGACTAAAGCTTCGTTACATGCTCTCTGAGTATGAATTTACCCAACTTGAATCCACTTTTACGAGTTCTTTCTAGGTTACATGTTCCCTGGGGTCTTAATAATGTCCACTTCATTCCATTTTCCATTTGTTCACTTCTGTTATATCCCTCTCCTTCATCCTACGCCTTTCCAGAGAGTGCAAGTGCGTTGCTGTCAATATATTTTCTTGGAAAATGTTCTCGTTATAGGGGATTCACGTTGTTATTATTCTGGTTTCCAGAGAATATTCTCTGATATGGAGATAACAACGACACCAAATAATCTAATTTCTTTCGCAACGTCGAATTTCCAGGCTAAGAGACATTATCCTGTCTCAGGTCAGTCCCTAGCCCAGCCCTGTCTCAGGTCAGTCCCTAGCTCAGCCCTGTCTCAGGTCAGTCCCTAGCTCAGCCATATCTAAGGTATGTTGTCATCCACGATAGTCGATTAACACCTGTTACTTGGTGAACATGAGAAACTTTGTTAGGAAACGTGATTCACGTTTTCACTCGCCCCAGGATTGAACCCAAGTTTTTAAGTTGTGAACTGAGGGTTATACTGTTGAAGTACTAGTCGATGTTTTAACAGTGATGTATTGAGTTGGGGTAACCTTGGAATACCTAATGGCAAGTATGCCAAGACTTACCTAATGGCGCGGGTATAGGCCAAGACTCACCTGATGGCGCTGGTGTAGGCCAAGACTCACCTGATGGCGCGGGTGTAGGCCAAGACTCACCTGATGGCGCGGGTATAGGCCAAGACTCACCTGATGGCGCGGGTGTAGGCCAAGACTCACCTGATGGCGCGGGTGTAGTGAAGCTTGGCGAGGTCTGGGTGACCGAGGTCCTTTTGAAGGTTAGCGAAGTTGTAGTGCATCTTGGCGTTGTGTGGTAGAGTCTTGAGTCCCGCCCTGCGGGTGCATCAGATGTCAGCAGGCGCACCAGGCATAAGCAGGTCCACCAGGTGTCAGCAGCAGGTGTCACCAACAAATGTAGACAGCAGGAAAAGAGACGAGGAAGAATGTGTAGCTGGACAAACATGAAACAGTATTCAAGTATTCAGATACGAGACAGATGTAAAAAGAAAGCAACTAGAATATGTAATGGCATGAGATACTAGCATAATGTGAAGAGACACAAAGGAAGTGATATGGAATACTTTATTATCAAACATTGCAGTAAAAATGGATTTTCATACAACGACAACGTGGATGTTTTTCCTCAAGTCTGCAATCCCTCCGCAACGAACTTCCTACGAGACTGTAAAGAATAAAAGAGCACAATACCGTGCCTGGAACAATATACAACCCGCACATAGGATAAAGAAACTTATATCGACCTTAATTTTTCCTATGTGCGGGTTATTTGCTTACAAGACTGTCTTCAAGAAATGGTTTTACCTAAATCTACACCACCTCATTATCCCAGCCTCTGACCTCATTTCTCTGACCTACCTTGAAGAAAGTGCTGACGACCTCAACACACACCCGGAGGGAACACGAACAAACGTAACGCTAAAATTATACGAAGGAGAATCCCCAATACCACATTCAACAAAAGCTTAGACTTACAAGGAAACTTCTCTCCGTGAACAGTAACTGGAAATATCTAGGAAGATCCGACCTTCCATCTCGTACTTTATCCAACATGGAAATCAAAACCCTCAGCTTAGGGCTCACGTTCTCTACAGTCATACCTGACTCACAACACTGCATTACCGAAAGCTGCGGATACAACGACATGGAGTTCCAGAAAGGCTATTTCCAGGACCTCTGAGTTTCATGCCACTGGTGTACATTATTAACTCTGGACTTTAAATATTTCTTAGTGTTTGAGGCACATGTTCACCTCTTATTCCTCTCCGTTACATCAGTGTCATCAGAGCGTTAATAAAAGACACTAATATCATCACTATAGCCAACGAAGGTAGCGTCTTCATCAAAAACACCAGCAACTACCAGTTCAAAATGCTACCATTGAACTTATCACGACTACTAAGGTGCACACCCTCACTGAAGCTTTCTTCCACAAGGCATCACATATCTTAAAGAACTATTCAAGGAAAGAAACCTCTCATACTTTCTCCAGGAACTTCAGACCAGCTCAATCTCCTCTAGTGCAAGCAGCGTCCTTTACAAACTAGCTCAACACCTGTCGAAGCTCTTGAGCACCATCAGTCCCCCACATCTCAAATATTCTGTAGACCTGACCCACATCCAAAACATCAACCCTAGTAAAAACCCCAGCCTGGACGTGACTTCTCACTTCACCGAGGTATCCATCCCCTGAAGCAGAACATTGATGCCTCTCTCAGACTACCTGTTCCTCCCCGCAGCTTCATAGACATCGTTGAACTCAGTGTCAGTTTCACGTGGTGTCCTGGAGAACCTCTATATAGAACACCTTAAAACTAAGCATCTTTCCTCCATCATCCCATGTTGTTGTTGGTTTCACAGCATGGGGAACATATTCATCATTACTCCTAGAAGTTTTGACATTTCTACCCTCCATTCCATACTTAGTCAAGGCGAATTTTCCATTTTGTTTACATTCGAGGACCTAACTAATGACACTCTCCGTCTAGTTGATGCTTTGCTTTGCAAGTTTCGCGGCAAACTTTGTTTCAAAGTCTATCGGAAACCCACCAACACGATCTCTGATTTCACTCACACCGAAATATCAACACTAAACGTTGTGTTGTCGTAGTTTTTTTTTTCCTAAACGCTCTCTGTATTTGCGGTATTGAATTCCTTGCTCGAGCAGATGTTCACTAAACTACCCTCGACGTTTCATCAAGAACTGCAGACGACGTAGTCAAAAAATTATTAACTCATTCATAACTGACACCACCATAAAGAGGTATATAGTCCTTCCCAATATCTCGATTGCCTGTCGTATTTCCAAGATCCTCATCTGTAAATTCGGTGTAGCCAGCGTTGCTTTTAACTTCAAAGACAGACAGAAACAAAACCAACATAAGTATTACTGCAATAACTGTTACAAAATCAGCGTAGGCGAATCATCCAGATAGCTCCATAAACACATTTCAGAACACCAGTAGACCAGCAGAATGGACAATCTTAGCGTCCAAATCCTGCTCTGTAATTTCCAAAAGCTCTTGATTAACTGAAATGATACCTTGATTGTTGTCGAAGAAAATGACACCCAGAAAAGTATCTCCAAAAATCTCAGCGAAATCAACAGTTTCTACAACCTAGCTGAACCTTTTGTCTGAAAATTATTTGGAGATTCGGAGATCAACGCGCCCTGAGGAGCAGCCCGCTTGCTCTTCACCTCGCCACAACTCCATGTTATGCTTTTTCTTAACACAGTTTTTCTGCTTTTGACTTGACAAGGCCTATTGTGTGGGCGAAACGTCATTAATAAAGGATTCCATATAACTTAATTTGTGTCCGTTTCCCAAGAAAGAAACTTATAGGAAAGGACAAACTTTTGGAAATGGAGATATTTGTTGCAGACAGACACTAGTTGAAGAAACTTTAAAATTGAGAGAGAGAGAGAGAGAGAGAGACAGACAGACAGACAGACAGACATAGCAGTATATAATGATTTAATAATGTGTAACTTGCAGCAGTGATCATAGATTACGTATATAAATTATATTAATGACCTATTTTACGGGTACAGATAAGTCTACTCCACCTTTCACAGTAATATTACTGAAGATGTGATTACAGCAAGTGTTATGATACAAGCTTGTTCTGCTACATTGTATTTGTTTCTACACGGCTTGCTTCCTCACCTGAAGTTTTATTTTTCACCGCAGTGTGGCAAAAATAAATCTTGGAACAGTTATGGGAATGGTTTGTGGAACTCCACTAACCGACATTGAAGCGGTCTGGATAGCCTTCTAAGGATAATTTCTCTAAAATGACGGCTAATTCTTCACGACAACAACAATGTTGGTAATGATTGTTGAGGCTGCTACAGATGGCAGCAAATTGGTATTGATGCAAGAAAATTGTTACAGATAAAAGCAAATTGGTATTGATACGGGGAAATTGTTACTGCTAGCAGCAAATCGGTGTTTAGAGCAAGCAAGCGATAGCGGCAGCAGCTTTTTGTAGTCAGTGTTGAATAACCAATAGGGTCTAGAGCTTTTTGTAACATTCAAAGTCACACAGACGTATATGTTTACATACTCATGAACGTATGTACGAACGCATGGTGTTAAGTATTTACGGACGTATATTGATAATACTGTACGTTCCCCATTATAAATAAAGCCGATTATAAACTGCAGAACACTTACACCCACTTACTCCCACTCATCACTAACACATACACCCAGTTACTCCCACTCAGCACCAACACTTACATCCACTTACTCCCAGTCATCACTAATACCTACACCCCGTTATTCCCACTGAGCACCACTTACTCCCACTCATCACTAACACCCAGTCACTCCCACTCAGCACCAACACTTACACTCACTCGCTCCCACTCAGCACCAACACAACCAGATATTCTTCATGGTGGCCGCCTGATGTTTCTAAATCCCTACCAATCTCCCAAGAGTCAAAGTGAATCCACCACTAGCCACATATAGGACTTACATGAAGAGGGTCTCCCTGGAGTCCCAATCGCGGTTCCTCTGTAGAGTCCTACAGGAGAAGGCAACCAGCAGCAGCAGGAGGCAGGGGGCCCTTAGCCGCCCCGCCCGCGAGAGAGCCACGCCCATCAGCACAGCGTAGCCCAGACTGGGAGGGGAAGAAGACAAGAATTGATTAGTAAAGGTGTACTGGGAACTGGTATTACTCTGGTTGTCTCTCCTCTGCTCAACATTCCGTGTCTCCTCTGCTTAAGTTTCGTGTCTTTGTGTTTGAGAGTGCGCCTCTACTTCTGTCTGCTTTTTTGAAAGGTTTTGTGTCTTATGCCTGCTCTTTGAAAGGTTTCGTGTCTTCTGTTTGCTTTTTGAAAGGTTTCGTGTCTTCTGTTTGCTTTTTGAAAGGTTTCGTGTCTTCTGTCTGCTTTCTGATAAGTTATGTGTCTTCTGTCTGCTTTTTGATAAGTTATGTGTCTTCTGTCTGCTTTTTGAAAAGTTACTTGTATTTTTTCTGCTTTTGAAAAGTTATGTGTCTTGTTTCTGCTTCAAGATGTCTCGTCATCACTGGTACTGGAACATTCACTTAGGAAAGAAAGAGTTACACAGGTTAATAGTAGTAGTAATGCTACTACTACTAGTAATTGTAGTAGTAATGCTACTACTACTACTACTACTCTAGTAATAGTAGTAGTAATGCTACTACTACTACTACTACTACTAGTAATAGTAGTAGTAATGCTACTACTACTACTACTACTACTAGTAATAGTAGTAGTAATGCTACTACTACTACTACTACTACTAGTAATAGTAGTAGTAATGCTACTACTACTGCTACTACTACTACTAGTAATAGTAGTAGTAATGCTACTACTACTACTACTACTAGTAATAGTAGTAGTAATGCTACTACTACTTACTACTACTAGTATAGTAGTAGTAATGCTACTACTACTACTATACTACCTCTATATTATCTTAGTAATATGTGTAGTATTATGGCTTTCATTCTTCGTTAAAATACATTTATTCCTTATAAAAAACATAAATACCCTGATACATTAGTGTTAGGTCATTTTAGGACCTAGTTCATAGGCTCGGTTAGGTAAGAATCGTCAGGAAGAATGACAAACGCCACCTCCTGATGCGTGTCTTAGTCTAAACTATTAAAACTACTCTCCCTACTTTGTGTTACCACTAGTGCTTCTGCTACTGCTTCTACTACCACCACACCACCACACTACTACTACTACTACTTACTACCCACCCAGCCTTACCACTACTACTACTACTACTACCCCACCAGCTACACTACTACTACTACTACTGCCAGCCTTCACTCTGCTCTTCCGCCACCTACCGCCTGCCACTACTACACTACTATACTACTATCCACTACCAGCCTTACCACTCCTATACTACTTTTCCACCGCTACCCTTAGTCCGCTCCTACTACCCTTCGCCTATATAACTGGGCTTCCTCTGCTTTTGTGTGTAGTGTGCCTTTGTAATGGTCGATGCTGGACCTCGACTGTCGTTACTACTATCTTCCTACGCCTTATTTACTTTTTTCTGTCTCTTTGACTGTCCATGGTCCCCTTTCCCTATGATTACGGTTCTGTGTTAGGTACCTGTAAATGTCGAGATCGGACCGAAATTCAAGTCAGTTCTCTTATTTGGGGTTAGTCAAAGTGCCCTATAGCTGCAACATATTTCCAGTTCCGATTTAAACAAATCATTATTTAAGTCTAGTGTCTCGCAACATTTCCATCGTTACTTCTTAATCAAGTAAGCAGTTCCATTATGAGTTCTCTGTAATATTATTTATGTAGTCATTACTGATTTTTCAACACCTTTAGTGATCGAGGTTTGTGTTTGTCAGTCTCTTTAAACGTTTTAAGGCTTTCAGTCCCCCCTCTCTCTGTTTAAATGTTTAAGGCTCTCAACACTTGGCTTTAAACGTCGCATTTCGTTTAATACCTGTCATTAAACGTTTAATTGCTCTTAGCAAAAGTCTTTAAACATTTCATGGCTTTCAGCACGTGTCTTTAAACGTTTCGTGGCTTTCAACTTCTTTCTTTAAACGTTTCGTGGCCTTCAAAACCTGTCTTTAAACGTTTAAAGGCTCTCAGCACCTGTCTTTAAACATTTCAAGGCTCTCAGCACTTGCCCTTAAACGTTTCATGGCTTTCAGCACCTTTAAATATTCGACCAAATAAGCAGCATAGTCTTTAAACTGCCACTCAGTGAGCACCCAACGTTCACCCTTCGCCACATCCCTCGACGCTAACCCAGCGTCATACACCCACACCAGTGTATCCATGGTTGTACATCATCGTACGTCCATGGTTGTACATCATCCCATCGCATCGTACGTCAAAAAATATTTGCGTTTTTTATCGTCCCTATCCTTAAACGTTCGGTTCGTTAAATGTCCCTCATTCATGAACATTCAGAGCATTACATGTGCTTGCCTGTAAGCATTACTGGCCGTCGGTACCGTAAAACCTCGGGAGTCTCAACAATCTGGATGTGAGTTGACACCGCGTCTTCGCTCAAGCATTCGCTCACGTGTATACATTCTCTCGGGTGTAGACATACATATGATCACGTGTATACATACCTCTCACCCCCCGTACGCATATATACGCTCAATAAGATGCTACGATCGTTTTCCCTGGTTCCTCCTTTAAGATGCTGTGAAGGTAATTCCGACAGTGTGTGCGCGCGCGTCTGGGAAAGGTCAGGAAGCACTCACAACCTTTAAAGTTTAAGAATCTAAAAAGGTCACTGTTGAGAGATCCTCAAGACTGTCTGCTTTAAAGTTGAGATGCTTAGCATCTCTCTTTGTTGTCATCTCTTCAAGATGTTGATGCTGGTGAGGGGCTCTTATTGCAGGGAACTGGGGCTATCTTCCCCTTTCTAAAATCAAACCTGGTCCCTCCCCAATATCCCCCATTTGCCAGGCGTTGTATGGCACAAGATTAGCCATTCACGAATATAATAATAATAATAATAATAATAATAATAATAATAATAATAATAATATGTTTCATTCCACACTAGGCTGGTTGGTTCAGGGTTCCAGGCTGACTGGCTCAGGGCTCCAGGCTAGTTGGTTTATGTTTCCAGCTAGTGAGTTGAAGGTTCCAGGCTGACCGTAGAGGGTTCCAGGCTAGTTGGTTCAGGGTTCCAGGCTGACTGGCTCAGGGCTCCAGGCTAGTTGGTTTATGTTTCCAGGCTAGTGAGTTGAAGGTTCCAGGCTGACCGGTAGAGGGTTCCAGGCTAGTTGGTTCAGGGTTCCAGGCTGACTAGTACAGGGTTCCAGGCTGACTAGTACAGGGTTCCAGGCTGACTGGTTCAATTTCCAAGCACGTAGCTCAGGGTTCCAGACTGGCTGGTACAGGGTTCCAGGCTGACTGTTTCAAGATTCCAGGCTGACTGGTACAGGGTTCCAGGCACTTAGCTCAGAGTTCCAAGTTGGCTAGTTCAGGGTTCCAGGCTGGTTGGTTCAGAGTTCCAGACTGACTGGTTCAGGGTTCCAGGCTAATTGGTTTGTTTCCAGGCTAGTAAGTTGAAGGTTCCAGGCTGACCGGTAGAGGGTTCCAGGCTAGTTGACTCAGGGTTCCAGGCTGACTAGTACAGAGTTCCAGGCTGACTGGTTCAGTTTCCAAGCACGTAGCTCAGGGTTCCAGACTGGCTGGTACAGGGTTCCAGGCTGACTGTTTCAAGATTCCAGGCTGACTGGTACAGAGTTCCAGGCACTTAGCTCAGGGTTCCAAATTAGCTGGTTCAGGGTTCTAGGCTGGCTGGTTCAGGGTTCCAGGCTGACTGGTTCAAAGTTTCAGGCTGACTGGTACAGAGTTGCAGGCACCGAGCTCAGGGTTCCAAGCTGGCTGGTTCATGGTTCCAAGCTGGCTGGTTCAGGTTTCCAAGCTGGCTGGTTCAGGTTTCCAAGCTGGCTGGTTCAGGTTTCCAAGCTGGCTGGTTAAGGGCAGGTTTTCCTTGCCCACTGATTTACAGTCAACCACATTATCAGTCACATTATTTTCCCGAAGAAGAGTTACGTTCTCGTGATCCAGTTCCTTGGATCAAGAGCTCTTCACCAACATAAAGGCAGAACTTTCGTTCAGTTTAGGAAAGTTCTTGAGAAAGTTCTTTAGTTTATTTCCCCCTCAAGTACGTACAATCGGGAGGGAGTACGTACATTTCGGAGTACGTACATCGCGACGGCGTACGTACATCGTAAGTACGTACATTGCGAAGAAGTACGTACATCGCAAGTACGTACATTGCGAGGAAGTACGTACATCGTGAGGAAGTGTGTACATCGTGAGAAACTACGTACATCGTGAGAAAGTACGTACATCGTGAGGGAGTACCCTGTATCGTGAGAAAGTACGTACATCATGAGGAAATACGTACATTGTGAGAAAGTAAGTACATCGTTAGGAAGTACGTACATCGTGAGAAAGTACGTACATCTTGAGGAAGTGCGTACATTTTGAGGGAGTACGTAGAACATAATGTTGGGAGTACACAGAACATCTTGTGGGAGTACATAGTACATCTAAACTATGGAGTTCCATTGAAGAGCTCTTGATTCAAAGAAGTGTAACTAACTTCTCCTTCCTCGGATTAAAATTGATCCCATATATCATTCCCCAAGAGTGACCCCTTCTCTTGAGTGAAGAATATACAGATGTTACCTGGGGTCAGCGCCCCCCCCCCGCGGCCCTGTCCATCTCCCACGTTTGTCCCTCCTACGTCCCTCCCACACACTCGGAGACGGTCACAAGAGAAAGGTCGCGGGTTTGATTCCCGGACTTGGTGAGACGTGTGGTTAAGTTTCGTTTGACTTAGTCAAACGGTCTTGCTTAGGCCAGCGGGTGTTGTGGATCGCATCCTGAAGGCGTGGTGAAGAATGTAAGAGAGAATCCAGTCCTGCTGCCATCAATGGTTATAACCATAACTATAATTTTTAAAGAGGGAGAGAGGTAAGCCAGCTGAAAGTCTCGATCAGATGACCAAAAGCTCCAGCTGTGGGTCATCATATGACACTAAGACCCACGTCAGGAAGCATTTGTCCTGGTTTCCTGACACAGCTTACCTAACCTAACCTCACCTAACCTAACCTAACCTAACCTAACCTAACCTAACCTAACCTAACCTAACCTAACCTAACCTAACCTAACCTAACCTCCTGCCTGAAGACAGTTCCGGCGATCATCGCCCCTGAGGCTCGATCCTAGACCACTACTCTTGATTGTAATCAATGTTGTTTTATTAACTATTTCTTTTTTTTTGCAAATTAAAACAAAGGGGAAGTGAGGTATGATAAAATATATTGAACCATGGAATAAATAAAAAAAACAGAGGGAAGAATATGGAGGAGGCTAAAAACAAGACGAAGGTGAAGGAGGAGGAGGAGGAGGAGGAGAAGAGGATATGAAAGTGCATCTTACTGCAGTGGGAGAGTTGGAATGAGGAGAGGAGGACATCTGGTGTGGGAATGAGAGGCAGGAAGGTGGGAATGGAGATTACTGCCAGGTGTCGTCTCCCAGACCTGCTCCACCTCCTCCACCACTCATAGTAGGCCATCTCCACACCTCTCATCCTCCTATTCTTACTCTTCATCCTCCTCCTCCTCTTGCTATTCCTCTCTCCTTCTCCTCCTCCTCTTGCTGTTCCTCTCTCCTCCGCCTCCCCCCTCCTCTTCTTCAATCCCTCCCTCCTCCACCTCCTCCTCCTCTTGTATAGATTTAATTACTGTTGCAATCTGCTTCTGTTGTTGTGCTACTTTTGTTGTTCCTCTAATTATGTATCCTTCTTGAAGAGAACCATTAAGAGGTTCCTTGTTTTTTTTTATATTTTTTTTTGTTTCCTTCAAATTTCGTTTTTATGCCGCTCGTAACGTGAGAATGCCTCATTCGATCGGCTTCAAATTTTCAACACTGGTGTACGGTAAATTGAACAAGGTTCTTGGAACAATTGGCATCTGCAAGTGCCCTGTGTCCCAATTTGTAGAACCCATTCCCAGCTTCCATAAACAGCTCTGATAACTTGCAACAATCTCTACTGCTTGGCTTCGAAACATTCAGAAAAAGTTGCCTCCTAATTCGACGACGGCGAAGGTTGTCATTTAAATGTCTAGGCGTTGTTTTCATTTTTACGAATATAGTGAACTTTTCAATACTGTCCGAGTTTGTGTCCGAGCCGGCACAGTGTTAGTTATGTAGAGTGATCTTATTGTCTGCCACTAACTTTCTCCTAAGGTTTTGCTATAGCTCCAGGATGCTTTATCCGATCGGCTTTAAATTTTGAACCCTGGAGAACTATTACTTGGCGAAGGTTCGTGGAGTGACTGACAAGTGCAGCTGTTCCTCTGCTCAGTGTGATACAGAACATTCCTACAATTAGTTTCCATGTGATGTCTTTCGAAACCCTCTTTTGATGGGATTCAAAATATCAGCACTGGTGCATCCCACTTAGAAGAAGTTCGGTGTTGTTAATGTCGTCTGTATGTGCCATTTTACCACTTTTAATCTCGAAACTGTATAGAATTAGCTTCCATTAATTAAATAGCTTGAGTTTGTCTTCTGGACAAGGGTACCTTGATGCTGGTGAGGGCTGTTGATACAAGGAACTGGCTTTATCCTCTCCTCAGATTCATTCTGAGTGCCTCTCATTCACCAGCCTTAATTAGACAAACACGCATTTAGAGTTGTACTTGATAAAATACTTCTGAACGGCATCAGTCTTTAATAGCTGATGCATCTTAAGAAATTCATCTATAGGGACATTTTTTAATGTCTGCACAATAACTGTAGAATGCATCACCTGGTCGCCTTCAAACTATTAAGGCTGATGTGTTTTCCTCAAGGAAATTTCGTCTTGACTTTAGGTTGTGTGAGTTTTAATGTGTAAATTTTATGAAACAACTTGATTTCCTTGAAATTACTGGAAAATGTCTCTTCTGATCATAAGTCACATGGACATTATTGCTAAGTCTTCTTTGTTAAACCTACACAGTGTAATTTTTATGCTCCCATAACATCTGTCTGCTTTCAAGAATACTGTAAAAATTTGAATGTTATGTTCTCAAAACCTAAACAGCAGTTCTTTGCTAATTCCTTAAATGTTGGTAAATCCTTAGAGTTTGGATTGGTTTTGGTATATGTAAGCCCAAACTTGCTTTTTTTGTGGGAGAAATTGGGAAAGTTACTTTTCACCATGCGATAATTTCTGAGTGTCTCATCTGATTGGCTTCAAATACTTCATTTCTGATAACTTGACAATGCAACTTCTGAGAGGTTTCAAACTTAACGCGTTGGCGTATTAAATTTAGTATCTTGGTCTCTCCGAGATGAGAAGAAAATGCTTCTTCAGTTTGGCTTCAAAGTTAGTGTTTCTTAGTGGAAGGTTTAACTTAGCTTTGAGCCGATTATGTCCTAATTTACCATTTTTTTTTACTTGAGAAATTGGGGCATTAGTTTCCATGTGATAACTTGTGAATGCCTCTTTTAATTTGCTTCAGATCTTCAACGTCAATATTTAACTTCACTGGAAACTTGTGCAGAACTCAGCAGTACCCTTACCGAGTGCCGTGAGGTAGAAGAGGCTGGGGTTTTGCAGTTTGGGGATACCTTGGATTGTGCAGCGACTGAAATACATTTAGTTGTTTCTGCTACTCTAGGAATGCTGCTGATTGTTACTACCACTAATGCTCCTTTGTTAATAATGTTTCTGTTGCCTGAACTGCAGTAACAACCTTTGCAACATGCATTGTTCTCTCTCCTGCTATTACTACTACGGTCATTACTTCGGAGATTACTCTGCGTTCCTGATTTTTCTAATAGCTTGTATTGTAAGCTTAAAACGTTTCATCACTTACCTGTCAATATAGAACACATAACACTGGGAAAACTGCTTGCATCTGTGGAACACTGCCAGCACTTCCCTGGGGAGGTGGAGGTAGGTGGAACACTCACCTGAGGAGGTGGAGGTAGGTGGAACACTCATCTGGGGAGGTGCAGGAAGGTGGAACACTCATCTGAGGAGGTGGAGGTAGGTGGAACACTCATCTGGGGAGGTGGAGGTAGGTGGAACACTTCCTGGGAGGTGGAAGAAGGTGGAACACTCACCTGGGGAGGCGGAATAAGGTGGAGCACTCATCTGGGGAGGTGGGGGAAGGTGGAGCACTCACCTGGGGAGGTGGGGGAAGGTGGAGCACTCACCTGGGGATGTAGAGAATCCTCTCAGCTACCACGAAGCCTACGGTGAAGAGAAGGTTGGTGGCAGGGAGGAAAGGTAGCACCAACAAGGCCAACCCCAGTAGCACCGCCCGACCTTCCTGACCCTGTGGGAGCAGACACACACTTAGTAAACCACACACACACACACACACACACACACACACACACACACACACACACACACACACACACACACACACACACACACACACACAAACACACACGTGTCCTATGAAGAAAGGTTAAGGGAAATCGGCCTGACGACACTGGAGAGGAGGGTCAGGGGAGACATGATAGCGACTTATAAAATACTGCGTGGAATAGACAAGGTGGACAAAGACAGGATGGTCCAGGGAGGGGACACAGAAACAAGAGGTCACAATTGGAAGTTGAAGACTCAGATGAGTCAAAGGGATGTTAAGAAGTATTTCTTCAGTCATAGAGTTGTCAGGCAGTGGAATAGCCTAGAAAG